CCCCAATTCTATCCAAAGGAATACTGACAATGGATTGCTGTAGATGAGGAACAGCTGATCCTCCTGGAACAGGGACCTCTGGCTGACTAGATTTATCAGAAGGACAGATGGGGGCAATAGATGGGGGTCCTGACAACACAGTGGACATTGGCAGGGATGACAGAGTATGGAGGCTCTAGAGGGAGAAGAAGGCTGTTTATCTGACGAGTTTATATTCATACTCAGATGCCACGGAACTCAGAAAGTAAGTGACTGTGACCAGTAATAGTCATATATATAGAGATTAGAAATGCATGTGAAAACGTCTCAATGTCAGTTGCCTTAAAATGAATTTTTCTGTATGAAACTGTATTTTAACAACGAAGTGGAGATCTTTTCTAAACATTAAAACCTCATTTAATTTTATGTCTTGTAGAGTTTATAATCAGTAAAAGATTGTACAAGCGTAATAATTCCTCTGTAAACCTAAAAATGTACAGCCAATTTTGAAAGAGATGTACCCTAGCTCAGAAAAATGTTATTGAATAGGTCAATGCTGTTGTAATGAAATGCTTCTTCTAATAAAAAAAAAAAAAAAATATTGTTGGAAATGTTGGGCCTAGAGAGATGGCTCAGCAGTTAAGAGGACTGACTGCTCTTGTAGAAGACCCGAGTTTGATTCCCGGCACCTATATGGTGGCTACAAACTGTCCTTAACTCCAGTTCCAGGGCAATCTGAAACCCTCTTCTGACCTCCGTGGTATTGGGCGACTCGGGTGCACTCACATACATACAGGAAATACGCTCATACACATAAAATAAATAAATAAGAATAATAAAAAAATATATTGTTGGGAATACCAAAAAGAGGACTGGGCTGGGCTTTGTAGAATACTTGTCTTCCATGCATGCCATCCAGGATTCAATCCTTAGTATTACCATTGAAAAAGGAAGAAAAAAGAAGAAAAGAAAAAGAAAAAAAGAAAAACAAAAGGATTCCATAAAAATCCCATCTAGCTCAACAAATCAAAGAAGGAAATGGAGATATTTAACAGTAATGACAGAATAACTTTAAAGGCAGCTTGAACTGGGATTAAATT